ATACGTGTCTAAGTAACATTTATTTTTCTTTGTAAAATGGTTGTAATTATATCTCATAGACTTGCGTGCTAATCTGATATCATGATAATATGGATATGTATTCAAGCGACACCCCAGTTATTGTGATTCCTCTCCTCCCTCTTCTAATCTTATTAGGTTCAGACTGCATTCTTCCAGGAAGCTTACCGTCATTTGCACCCATCCCCGAGGCTTTTCTTGGGGAATGGATTCTGTGTAACATTTGCTTGGCCTTGTTATACTTCGTTTATAAAAAATTCATGTTAGAGCATGCGTGCACATGCATTAGGAAGAGAGAGAGGAAGAGACAACACCCCCATGTTATAGAGTACAAGTACATACATGAGGGACAGAGAGAGGGAGGGAGATCCCTCTTGACTGAGTCTTCTCACTCCACAATCCTCTTTTCCCCATTCTCCACTCATCATGATCTTGAGTGCAAGCATGCATGCATATACCTAGCATGTTCCAGGCCAACCAGGTCAGGCAGGGATTTGAACCAGTCGGCCTGTGTCTTCTGGCTCTGCAGTTCAGCAAGCTCCTGAATGTGCCACCGCTTCCTTTTCATCTTCCCCTTCCTTCTCTGACTTGGTGATTCTCTTGAATAATCTCTAAAAGGAAGGTATTGGACTCCTGCAGCTGTTTCTGGGGATGAAGTCACTGATATCTCATGAAGTCAGCAGTAATATAGCCTGGGTCCCAACTAATGTGATGGTACCATCCTGCCTGGCATCAACGGCGTCATAGCCGGAAGCCCTTTGGCCCCTGAAAACTGTTTTTGTCATCACCTGAGGACATAGCTACAACTCTGGTCTTGGTTAGAAGGCACATGCCAGTTGGTAAAGGATGGTCTGTTCATGCTGTGTGATTAGTACTTACGGGCATGTAGCAATGAACTGCTCCCTGGGGCCAATTCTGTTACAGCTAAATTTGTGCCACAATAAAGGGCCTGGACTTTGGGTGAGCTTGGGCAAATCATGTCACTTCCATAAGTCTTAGCTTCCTTGTGTGTTCAGTTCCATTACATGGAAATGCTATCTACCTTGTTTATTCTGAACCCTTCCTATGAGATCCAGGTGAGCTTTAGCCTATGAAAGCATTGCGGAAATCGTACAAGTTTGAAGGGTGAGTATATAATGCTTACTCTTTACAGGGTTTCTCAAAAGTGCAGTTACTCCTAGATACAGTGTTAGCAGAAACTCAGAACTCATTCTGTTGAGTAGAAAAACATTTTGGGGAGAGAGTTCAGATTTATTTATGATTCTAATATACTCAATTCAATGGGGGTATCTTTAGTTCCATAGGGAATCCCTAGAAAGCTCTAAGCACTGTGCTAGGGAAAGATGGAAGGTGAGTGTTGTAGCATGGAGATATGTTACTTAGAGGTGCTGTTCCTGAGGCACGTCTGCCTTTGATGGGTCCTACTGATGACTTAGGTAATCTTTACTTTTGGCAAATCCACACCATCTTTAGCTCAGGTATTTTTAAAAGTGGCACCATGGCAAAAATTAAAGCACTAATCATTTACTTGGGAGGTTCAAGCCCTAGATAATAAAGGTAAAGGTAGAGAGGGGAAATAACACACATTGCCAAGTAACGCAATACTACCTGCTAGCCTGCTGGCCAGAGGTATGTGTTCAGCATTGCAGAGACATGCAGGCCCTCAATAGGTGTGGTCACCTGGCAGGCTGGACTTGTTCAGAAGACTGACAAGGAACGAAACACATTCTGAAGCAAAGAGCGTTTATCTTCCTAGTTCTCTTCTGGTTCCACTTCTCATTGGTCAAGTTTATATCCAGAAGGAGTTTATCTAGTGCCTAGTGAATGTTCAGGAAGTCAGATGTCATGCCTAGTAATGCGATACTTCATACCTGATCCAGGTGGTCAATCAAGAGACAGAGGTAGTTGAGGTATCTGAGTAGGCCAACAGGCTTTGGGGCCTGTATGCTGACCTTCTCCTTCCCAATGGTAGGAAAACATGGAATTCCTGTGGAGCAATAGGGTTGGTATGGCTTAACTCTAAATTCATTCCTTCATCCCCACCTACTGGAAATGATCGCATCCTGCTGACAGGCTCCTCGGCTCAGAGTTCTCATCCAGGGGCTTCACAGGAAAGAACAGCTTCTGTTGCCCCACCTCAGCCTCCCCTGGGGGCCCAATCCAGTCTTATCCTCTCCACAATCCCTTACGAGAGGTCTGGATCCTTATTAAGAATCACTATGGATTTTTAGAGTAAAAAATCTATAGAGAGACTTCAGAAACAGTCTGGGGAGATTATAAAGAAATGTGGGCCAGTTTTCCAAAGAGATTTTATAGAATATTCAATAGCACTCATGTCATAAAAGGCCTATAGAGGTTTCCATAGCTGAGGCTGGCCCTGAATTATGATTCCCCGATGCAGAGCCTAGCAAAAGGTCACAGCATAACAGATTAGGGCTTGATTCTGTGGCGCTTGTAAAAATAGAGCCACCTCACTAAAATGCAGTGGGGATATTAATTTCCAGGGCTGAAGTTCAATTTAATAGAAAGACAGAGTAGAAAATAGAGCTGTCTTTTCAATCCCAGTGGTCATAATAGAACCCCACCCTGCACCTCTCTGGAAACCATCTCCCAGCCAGCTCCCAGACATTCTGAAACGTGCCTAGTGCTTTGCTTTCAATGATAACTGGAGTTGGGTAGCTGGAGGGACAGCAATTACTGTCCACAGATGAGGAACCTGAGGCGTTTGGAGGTTAATCTACTCTCTCACGGACACAGAGCAAGTCAGCAAAGGCTCTGGTTTGCAGTTAGTAAAATCCTACATCCAAGTGAGAAGAAATTACCATAATTTATGTACAACTTTCATACAGGAAGGTAGGTTATTAATATATATATACCTACTGTGTGCTGGGCTGTGTGTGAAGGGCCTGGCATGTACACTCTTGTTTAGTTTTACAGTGAATCTGATAGGTCATTATTCTCTCCCTCTATAAAGAAATCAAGGCTCAGCCTTGTAAGAAAATTTGTCCTAATAATTCATAGAGTCCTGAAGAGACCTGGGACTGAGAAGAACCAGCATCAGACTGTCTGACTGATGTAGTGTTCTCTTCCTATAGTGACCCCACCACATCTGTTCTGTCTTCTTAGACCCTCCCTCAGGTCAGGAACTGTGTCTGGAGGCCCAGCTCAAGGACTATCAATGCTACTGAAAACAGGTAAGAAGGTGGGAATCCACAAAGAGATTTCTGAGGAGTTGGGGGAATCTGGCCTCTTGGTCTCTGATATTGGCCTGAAACTTCACCTGGAATTTTCTCTGCTTATCTAAGGGTCAGTGAAGTGTCACTCTTCAGCAGATGAGTGGAGTTGAGGGTAAAATAAGTGTCCAGTTAAACGAAGATGAGCACTTGAGGACAGAGTTATTTGGTCGGACGAGGGACCTTGGTTGCTGGGGTGCAGGACAGAGAACTTGAGATTTTACCGTTCCTTAGATGGAGTTGCAGTCAGCACTCTATCAGCATGTCCTGGGTATTCAACAAAAAGCCTCTTTTCTGGGCCCTCAGACTCTGTCAGCTGTGGTTAGTTGCCTGGGCTAGCACCTGGCAGAAGGCTGGACCACAGAGGTCCAGTGGTAGTGGAAGACCCTCAGCTGGTGTGGGGGCCCAAGACACTTCAATAGCTGCTGTTGCTCGGGCAAGTGTTCTGTGCAGAGCCTGGTGCTGCATGCTCCTTCTGGACGCAAAGGAAATAGAGGTGGAGACTAATCCTGGGACTGTGGGTCATGTATGAGCTTTGAGCTCAGCCCCAACTAGGCTAAGAGGGGCAAGATAGAAAAAGAAGGAGAAGAACCAGGACCAATTCCCCAGAGGCTTTTGCTTCAGTGGAGGAGAGATTCTGGTTTTTAAAAATGGCCTGACAAAACAGAGCTAAGATACCCTGAAAAGTGGCAACTGTATCATGTTAATTAATTTGTTCATGTTGTGGACCTATCAAGTCGCTGGATATGTTCACGTTTGCAGAAGGGGAAGTGGAGATGTGGGGAAAGACCATCGGAGCAGGGTGAGTGGCCCAGATTGGACCTTGGAGAGCAGGAGAGAAGGGATGGGAGTGAGGGAGTGGGAGGGCCGAGCTGTCAGGAAAGACCTGTGTGGAGTAGTGAAGCTGGGGTAGTGGATGCTGTAAGGTGTTGCTCAGATTTCCTTTCGTCAGAAGCGCTTATTTTCTCATCTGCTGGACACCCTAGTGGCTGACTATTCTCAGTCTTCTCCAGGATTTATTTATTTATTTTTTTTCTTTTCCCAAGATTAAAATCTCTCCCTGGGAACAGCAGCATTAGATGACTCAGTGGGAGTGAGAAGGATAAAGGTTTACCTCTCTTGTTTTAACAAAAGACAACTCAACACGGTACAAGGCTAACCCATTTCTAAGATTCCCTATTTGATTTGTAGGCTGAGACATTGTTGAGTGAGAAGATCTTAAACAAAAATGTAAAGAAAGGAGGGCCTTCCCTAAGAGAAGAATGGCACAGGGGAACTCAGAGGAAACCTTGGATGCCTTGAGTTGGAGCAGAGGATTCCCTGGGACCAGTTCAATCTGGGCTGTGAATGCTATAAGCTTTGTGGCATAGAGGAAAGAACTCTGAACAAGAAACTTGAGATCCAGATTCTAATTCAGGCTCCGACACTAACTTGCTCTGTGACACTGTAGTAGTGACTTGATTTCTCTGGTCTGTATTGCTCTCTGCTCTTAAAACCCACCCCTCTTGTGAACAATGGCTAGTAGTGGCTTGTCTCCCTCTATGAGCTGGGTACATCTTCTTGGTTGGACCATGGTTTTCTGGGGGACAGAGACCAAGCATCTATGTGACTTTGATCCTTGCTTCGCTTCTCCACCTTTCCTCCCTGAGTGCTTGTTTCTGGTTCTCCACATGGTGGGTGCTCAGTGAACGCTGGCCCTGAGGCCCCTTGGCTAGCAGTGTGCGAGAGACTGTCTCCAGGCTGTTATCCACTCAGCCTGTACCTATGCACTTGGAACAGTGATCAACACAGGGGATAGTCAGGAGATCCCAAGTAAACTGAGGGAGGTGCTAATACAACAAATAAAAGGTGTTTTTATTATCTGCCACCCTTGATTCTGCTGGCCAATCTCACAGCCCTGCTCAGTGACCATCAGCAGTATGGAGTGGGCACACTATTGCCAGGGCAGATGGTGACTCCAGTGAACTAACGAAGGCATTATCTCAGCTGGTGGTGGCCGTGTGGCCATGACCTGGCCTATGCTTACAAATGGGAGCCCAGGTTTGGTTGTGCTCTGTGATTCTGGTTGCTGCAGTCTATATCACACTCCAAAAGGATCTCATTAGCAACTGGGGAACTCTTTCTCTGTGGCCCTTTTCTCTCTTGAGTGAGTACTTTTAATTGCATGCAATCACCTCAATGACCTCAATGTCATTTTTTCATCTTCCAGCTACTCTGAGACTGTATGCAGGGAGCCTACACCTAGAGGGTGTGAAATGGTTACTTGCACGACATGAGCAGGGAGTGGGATGTTGTTTAATGGCATTATGCTGTAAGTGCCCTGGTCTTCATATTTGTGCACAATAGGGAATCTATTTTCAGCTCACACCCCATCTGCAAGTACTTTTCTAGGCAAAAAGAGCAGAATTTACCTACCTGCTTTCTATTACCACAGTGTGACCAGAACACAGAGGTAGTTAGAGAGAACAAAAGATTTGGATTAGAGCAGTTGGCTCTCAAATTTCAGTGCATTTAAGAAGTACCTGGCAGTGCCTGAGCTGCCTCCTTGGAGATTCTAATTTGGTAGATCTGAGGTAAGGACTGAACACTTACACTATTGAGGCCATTTCAGTCCGTGGTTCACTTTTAGAATCACTGGGTTAGAAAAGTGGATTAGAGTCAGATAGCTGCAGAATCCCACAAATGGAGAGAAAGACCTTTCCTGGGTAATATTTAATTAGCAGCTGGTGAGTGTAACTTCTTCAGCCATACAGTTGATAAAGCCTGAAAGGTAGGGTGGACCTGGTGCTGTGTAGTCTGAGTTTGTGGTTCATGTAGATCAGCTAATACTTGTTCATTTTTTTTCATTCCTTCTCCTTGAAGAAAAATGTCTGCTTTTGGACAGTAAATTCTTTTTTTTTTTTAAATTTGTCTTATTATCTTTAAATTTTTCTTTTTAAAAAGAGGTTTTTGCTATAGGGCACATGCACTCATCAGCAAGAGAGAGACAGAGAGACAGAAAGTGAGAACTCGCCCCCCGAGCTGATGGCCACACCACAATCCCTTCTCCTCCATTCTCCTTGCAGGATCTTGGGCATGCACGTACATGCACTTGGCGTGAGTTTAAGCTACCAGGTCTGACACTCGAACTGCGGTCGATCACATGGGAATCCAGCGATATAGCCATTACGCTACCCTGAAAAGTGGCAACTGTATCATGTTAATTAATTTGTTCATGTTGTGGACCTATCAAGTCGCTGGATATGTTCACGTTTGCAGAAGGGGAAGTGGAGATGTGGGGAAAGACCATCGGAGCAGGGTGAGTGGCCCAGATTGGACCTTGGAGAGCAGGAGAGAAGGGATGGGAGTGAGGGAGTGGGAGGGCCGAGCTGTCAGGAAAGACCTGTGTGGAGTAGTGAAGCTGGGGTAGTGGATGCTGTAAGGTGTTGCTCAGATTTCCTTTCGTCAGAAGCGCTTATTTTCTCATCTGCTGGACACCCTAGTGGCTGACTATTCTCAGTCTTCTCCAGGATTTATTTATTTATTTTTTTTCTTTTCCCAAGATTAAAATCTCTCCCTGGGAACAGCAGCATTAGATGACTCAGTGGGAGTGAGAAGGATAAAGGTTTACCTCTCTTGTTTTAACAAAAGACAACTCAACACGGTACAAGGCTAACCCATTTCTAAGATTCCCTATTTGATTTGTAGGCTGAGACATTGTTGAGTGAGAAGATCTTAAACAAAAATGTAAAGAAAGGAGGGCCTTCCCTAAGAGAAGAATGGCACAGGGGAACTCAGAGGAAACCTTGGATGCCTTGAGTTGGAGCAGAGGATTCCCTGGGACCAGTTCAATCTGGGCTGTGAATGCTATAAGCTTTGTGGCATAGAGGAAAGAACTCTGAACAAGAAACTTGAGATCCAGATTCTAATTCAGGCTCCGACACTAACTTGCTCTGTGACACTGTAGTAGTGACTTGATTTCTCTGGTCTGTATTGCTCTCTGCTCTTAAAACCCACCCCTCTTGTGAACAATGGCTAGTAGTGGCTTGTCTCCCTCTATGAGCTGGGTACATCTTCTTGGTTGGACCATGGTTTTCTGGGGGACAGAGACCAAGCATCTATGTGACTTTGATCCTTGCTTCGCTTCTCCACCTTTCCTCCCTGAGTGCTTGTTTCTGGTTCTCCACATGGTGGGTGCTCAGTGAACGCTGGCCCTGAGGCCCCTTGGCTAGCAGTGTGCGAGAGACTGTCTCCAGGCTGTTATCCACTCAGCCTGTACCTATGCACTTGGAACAGTGATCAACACAGGGGATAGTCAGGAGATCCCAAGTAAACTGAGGGAGGTGCTAATACAACAAATAAAAGGTGTTTTTATTATCTGCCACCCTTGATTCTGCTGGCCAATCTCACAGCCCTGCTCAGTGACCATCAGCAGTATGGAGTGGGCACACTATTGCCAGGGCAGATGGTGACTCCAGTGAACTAACGAAGGCATTATCTCAGCTGGTGGTGGCCGTGTGGCCATGACCTGGCCTATGCTTACAAATGGGAGCCCAGGTTTGGTTGTGCTCTGTGATTCTGGTTGCTGCAGTCTATATCACACTCCAAAAGGATCTCATTAGCAACTGGGGAACTCTTTCTCTGTGGCCCTTTTCTCTCTTGAGTGAGTACTTTTAATTGCATGCAATCACCTCAATGACCTCAATGTCATTTTTTCATCTTCCAGCTACTCTGAGACTGTATGCAGGGAGCCTACACCTAGAGGGTGTGAAATGGTTACTTGCACGACATGAGCAGGGAGTGGGATGTTGTTTAATGGCATTATGCTGTAAGTGCCCTGGTCTTCATATTTGTGCACAATAGGGAATCTATTTTCAGCTCACACCCCATCTGCAAGTACTTTTCTAGGCAAAAAGAGCAGAATTTACCTACCTGCTTTCTATTACCACAGTGTGACCAGAACACAGAGGTAGTTAGAGAGAACAAAAGATTTGGATTAGAGCAGTTGGCTCTCAAATTTCAGTGCATTTAAGAAGTACCTGGCAGTGCCTGAGCTGCCTCCTTGGAGATTCTAATTTGGTAGATCTGAGGTAAGGACTGAACACTTACACTATTGAGGCCATTTCAGTCCGTGGTTCACTTTTAGAATCACTGGGTTAGAAAAGTGGATTAGAGTCAGATAGCTGCAGAATCCCACAAATGGAGAGAAAGACCTTTCCTGGGTAATATTTAATTAGCAGCTGGTGAGTGTAACTTCTTCAGCCATACAGTTGATAAAGCCTGAAAGGTAGGGTGGACCTGGTGCTGTGTAGTCTGAGTTTGTGGTTCATGTAGATCAGCTAATACTTGTTCATTTTTTTTCATTCCTTCTCCTTGAAGAAAAATGTCTGCTTTTGGACAGTAAATTCTTTTTTTTTTTTAAATTTGTCTTATTATCTTTAAATTTTTCTTTTTAAAAAGAGGTTTTTGCTATAGGGCACATGCACTCATCAGCAAGAGAGAGACAGAGAGACAGAAAGTGAGAACTCACCCCCCGAGCTGATGGCCACACCACAATCCCTTCTCCTCCATTCTCCTTGCAGGATCTTGGGCATGCACGTACATGCACTTGGCGTGAGTTTAAGCTACCAGGTCTGACACTCGAACTGCGGTCGATCACATGGGAATCCAGCGATATAGCCATTACGCCAATGGCTGGTCTCTTGGACAGTGGATTCTATAGCTGCCCTACTTACACTGAACTTAGAGCAAGCTTTAGAAAGAAACATTTTGTTTCCTGCAAACACAGGCTCTGGAGATGAGTTCATCTCCCCAACCAATGTCCTTGGGATCTGAGGGCGGGAGGAATGAGTACATCAAGTGTGGAATTCTCTCTAATGTCCCCAGCTAAGGGATCAACTTAGGAAGGTTAAAAGGCTCCTGATCTCATTGAGGTTTCTGTGGCATAAATGATTCAAAAAGGCCACAGGCATGTTTCCAGAAGCATAACAATCTTATTAAATTCATGGCTTACTCTCAATACATTCAAATCTGTTTACATCCAACTTACTACATATGGCCACAGAGAAGCACCACAATTTTTTCTAATCTTGACAATTTTCTCTCTTGTTCAACATTCAGATTTTATTTCCACAAACACAGAACTGCATCCTACATTTGAGGATGTCATTTAAGGCCAAGAAAGTCCAATAAAAAAGCATTTATCAGCAGTAAAGTTTGTTTGAGGATTACCCACTGCGAATAAAGGCGAGCTCCCCTTTTAAACTGAAGCATGCTATTTCGGGAATGTGACCCCTTTCATGAATAAATGACATGGTGACATTTACAGATAAAGCAAGATTTAACTGCTATGAAAGGAGGTGACAAATGTCAGGATGTCAATAATGATCCGTGAACATAATGGTTTCTTGCCTGAGCGCTGAGCAGATACATAATGTAACTGCTGCCTGCCAGTGTTTTGCAGAGAATGAGCCTCATACTCTGGGAAGAGCCGGAAAGGCTCCCAGCACCATGAGAGCCACAAGTCTGGGGCGGTGGTATCCGAGGGGGGCCCGAGTGCAATTTGGCTAGTAACTGAGGCTGTTAACTCCACATCACTTTGCATGTTTGCACACCAGAAAGGATGAAGTTTTTCTATCATCTATGGCTAAATTATGTGAGAGGAAGATTCCGATTTTGTGAGAATAGCTTCCTGATTATAACTTCATTGTACTAACGAGCCAGGAGTTGAGAAAAAATGTCAGGAGAAAGTCTCATATATCAGTGACATGGCAAGCCAGATCACCAGTGGTGCCTGACCAGGCAGTGTAGACACACAGGCACACACTAAGGCCACCTCCCCCTCCAGCATGGGACCAGGCAGTTGTCCCAGCAGTGCATGACTGAAGTTATAGATCATAGTAGCTAGAGAGTACAATGGCTTAGCCAGACTCCACTCATCCCTGCAGGACCCTTCTTCTGGGCTGTCTCTTCTGCTTTGAACTCAACTTCCTTCCTGGTTCTTCCCTTACAACTTTGAGGCTTTATCTCCTCCCTTACAGTCAGATGTGCTCTGCAGTGGTAGACATTTAACAACCAGCTCACGGAAAACAAACCCTAATTAGTTTGCAGTTTTCTGTGAGGTAAACATTACCCTATTTCCCCCATCTCCCAGCCAATTTTTAATGATTTTTTTCAACATGAAGTCACTGAACATGTTGAGAAGAGATTTCCACAACTGGGCATCTCAACATCCCACAATGATCTTCAGGGTCTTCTTTGCTTCTCAACAATGACTCCCTATCTCAGTTACCACTCTGTTCCCCCAGATGGAACCACCATTCTCATGCAAAGTGAAAAATACCAAGTATGGGGACCAGCAGTTAGCGTAATGGCTATATTGCTGGACTCCCATGTAGTCAACCATGGTTCAAGTCCCGGACCCAGTGGCTTAAACTCATGCCAGGCATGTGTATGTACATGCCCAATATTCTGAGAGGAGAATGGAGGAGAAGGTTGCAGCATGGCCTTCCTCCCTGGGGTGTGATTTCTTGCTTTCTCTCTCTCTGTCTCTCTCTGTCTTTCTGGTGAGTGCACACACCCTATAGCAAAAACCTCTAAAAAAAAAAAAGAAAGAAAGAAAAGAAAAATACCAAGTATGTATTTCCTGCTTATATGTCGCTCTCCAAACTCAGTCTCATATGTCTAGTGCAGAGAACCACTTTACCTCCACCTTGGTAGTTGTATCTACTCCCCTGTGTCTTCCCTCCTAACTCGTGGCCATCTCTGATCTGTCTTCCTTTGTGTTGCTTTCTGGGTGTGGCTCATGATTTAGGGACTATGGTAGCACCCCTACGTCTTCCAAGTCTAGATAGTATTCTCTTCTCTCAGAATGTTTTAAGGCTCATGTGTGTCCTGCTGTTACCTCATTCAGCAGTAAAAATGAAGAGGTGGAGGCTCTGAGGTCCTAATTGACTTGCCTGAGGTGCTCAGGGTGTCAGAAGCAGGCTGTGACTGGACCCAGGTTTCCCAGTTCCCAGTGCCTATGTAGCACCCTTCCATTACTTCCAAGGCCAAGGCTAACTGACACTCCCATAGTCTCAGCTCCTTTGCCCTAGCTCATGCCCTGTCCCCAACATGCAACCCCATCACTTTCTTCAGAGATTCTGAGATGTGCGGGCACATCAGTGCATGGGGTTGGGGACTGGAACCAGAATTGTTGGCAGTTATTGTTCCAGAATCTTCAGACCACATCGTGTCACATTTTGCTCAGGTGGCCTTCAGCTCCTTGGTACAAATGTGATTTTTCTTGACAGATATTATGATTCTGTCCCCTGTGGCCACCAGAAAAGCCATGAACTTTAAGAACAAGAACAGGTCAGGAGATGGGATTGTCACAATCAATGGTGGCAGGCTCCCAACACCCATCAGCAGTGTTGAGCACTGCTCCAGAAAGTCACTTGTCTCAAGAAAGTCAATTTTTCTCCATATGGGGGGGTGTCTTTCTAAGACACACAAAGGAATGCTGGTCCTGTGTCTGTCTATACTGTGTAGGTCTGCATTCCACACCCTGCTATAAGTGTGTGTGTGTGTGTGTGTGTGTGTGTGTGTGTGTGTGTGTGATTACCCCAGGTTCAGTTGTACCATAAGGCAGAGATTGCAAGTGCATTCTAGTGCTGGAGGGGCAGGGGTAGAGAGTGAGGAGTGGTGGGCCCTCTCTAGCTAGAGGTTCCCCAGGCCCATGATTTGTGTGCTCAGTGTGGATGGCAGGATTCAATTAGGAAAGGGAGATGTTTTTACTGGCTGGAAGAATCAGGATGATTTTCTGCATGAGGAAGGGTATGAAAAGAACTCTGAAAGACAGTCAGGGTTTGGTATGGAAAGGATGTGGAGTCAGATAGGACACCCACGGGTAGGAGGGCTGTGGCTGAAGAGAGGCTCAGAAGAAGGAAAGAGCATATTTCCCTTCTCTAATCCATCTCTATCTTCTTGCTGCTGCCAGTGAGAGCTCAGGTTGAGAAAGCAAATCCTAAGGAGGGACTTTGCACTCTCCCTACTGAATTGCAAATGATTTTAGGCCCCTCCTAGAAGAGGGAAGTGAGTGGGAGTCCTTTACAGGTCCTCCGAGGCCTTTAGGGGGCTGTAGAGTAGGGAGGGCCTTGGTCATGGGCTCAGGACTTCCCTTGAGCCCTGTTCCTTATATAGATTGCATCCTCTGGCCACAGAGAGACCTCTGCCTTAGATAGTCCATGAGTCTGGGGGGGGGGCACTGTGGGTGTACAGGTGTAGACAGGGGACCCTGCACCCCCTCAACAGATTCTGAGGCAATTAGGGGACTGACTGACATTTTTCTTTTCTCCACAGTAGCTCACTTCCATCCTGCTTTACTCTTACAAGCTGACAAGATTTCAACTCAAGGGAGGAGACTCACGGCGCTGTCACAAAGTACATGTGGAGAAGAACTGCAAGGTAAATGCATTTCACTGGAAGTCAATTTTGTCTGGAAGTTTTCTTGTGCTTGGAAGTTTCTTTGAAAACTTGATGATTATTAAGATGTCAGTGGCAGGGAGATATTTGCCGCTGCCTCCCTGCTGCCAGCCCTGTCTACGCTGACGGTTTTCCTCCTTGGGCCTCTGCACAGGGCAGGGCAGAGAAAGGACAAGAGATGTTGAAGGTGGTGGGTGGCCAGGAGTGCTCACTGAAGCCTGGGCCCTGCAGTCCTTGGTGTGTCCCGAAACCTGTGCTGAAGACCCTTCAAAGTTTGTCTCTCCCTCTACATGTGGCAGATCCTAGAAAAATACGTGGGCAAAAAGTCACAAACACACATGGATCTTCAGTAATTTTGGGGTGGCCACAGACTCTGTCTTACGAACAGCATTGATGAGGATTGTGGCCAGCAAAGGTAAGAGGGAGGGAGAAAGGGACAAAGAAGGACCTAAAACTATACTGCCTGATGACATAGGGCTGCCTACTGGCCCTTTGGACAGGCGAAAGCTCTTGAGGAGTTACTTTGAGGTTAACTGTTTTGCTTGGGCTCCACAACATTGTAGAGAATGAGGGGGGATCCTGACTTGGGGCATGAAGGGGGAGGGAACACCCTCCGTCCTCTGGGAGGACCTCATCAGTGTCATGGGTGTGAGTGTGGGTGAGGGTCGGTGCTGCCTGAAGGGAGCCCCCCTAGAACTGCATTGCCAATGGGCATTAGAAGGAGGAGATTGTGCTACTCATCATTGAGGTTTTCCTTTCCAGCATTATTTTCTTTTGGTTTATTCTCAGAGGTCACTGGAGTTCTGATATTGCACAGTGAATGTCAGCCTTCATATGAGGGGTGCCCACATGTGGGGATAAGCAGAGCAGAAGGCACAGGGGGGCCCCAAAGACTGGAGGTCAACATGGTCCAGAAGGAGCACTGAGGAGCAGCCCCAGAAGCCCACAGCAACACTAAGAGAGGGGACCTGCTGAGAGTCATGACCTTACTGTAGTCAAAGAGAGGAAATGGATTGTTTTTATTCAGATAGAGAAGGCTATGTCATCCTGGAAAATAGGGAAATAAGGAATGCTTTTATTTACCTGTATATTCCCATTTAACACTTCATGTATTCTGCAAGTGACACCTGATGAACACGATTTAGGGTCAGACCCCATCAAGGATATGGAGAAGAAAGACCTAGTGTTTGTCCTCAAGAATCTTTGTCTGGCTTTTGCATGGTGATGAGGAAGAAGAAGATGATGATGATGATGGTTTTGGTGATGATCATGACAACTATTTCAGGGGAGTCTTGCTGACAATGTCTACAGCCTTTAAGGGAAAGCTGGATCTGCACAGAACTGGCCACATCTTCTGGATAACAGTTTGGTCTTGAACTTCTGTCCCTAGAGTCAGTTGTTGGCTGTGATGTCTTGGTGGGAAGGGAGAGGAAGCTCAAGGGTAGGGAGAAAAGCACTTACTCTTATTTTGCTGAGGTAATTTTATCCTGAGAACCCCACAGAGTTAAGAGTAACATGAATCTAGGTTAGAACTGATATTTTGAAGACAGAATCAAGTTTCCGCCCAGATCATGCATTGTAGAACTTTCACATCTCTCTCTTCAGGCTCTTCTCCACCTCGTAGTCAGGTGTCTGGTCTGCTGGACCGTAGTTTTCTGGAGTACAGAAACTGTTCTTCAGGGAACTGAGATTGGCCTAAGCCTGAGTACCAGCAGCTCCCAACCCACCTTTGATTAATTGAAAAAAGGGCCCAGTACCTGCTTCAGAGGGATTTCCTGTCTGCCAGGTGGCTTGAAATCAGCAGCCACTAGTGTTTGTGGTCCACATGAACAGGATTTTTGGACTGGTAGCTTTGGCATTCCTCTTTGTGTTTCCTAACCTCTGCCTTCAGGCCTCCTAATTCCCTCACCCAGAGATGACAGGGCCCAGGTTTCTGTCCTTGAACCCTCTGTTCTGAAAGGACCATCAGAGAATGACCTTCCTGCTGCTGGAGCCCGTGCTCTCAGCCTGATTGCTCCAAAAGATGAAATGTTTTGTGGCAGTGAAGTTCACAGCTTCAGTCTGATCTGGAAGATTTACTTTGCTTAGGCTGGTCCAAATGCAGCCTCTGCTGAGTGTCCTCTGGTCAGCTACCTGAGGTCAGCATCCAGAGTGAGTGGTGGCCACTGCTGCACAGAATGTGAACCCCAAAATGTGGGTGCCACTACTTTCATGATCCAACTATGGCCTTGAGAATGCTATGGGAGACAGAATCTCCACTCTGAGTTTTGTTCTATTACAATGTTGTGGTTGTCATGATCCAGACAGTGTGGGAGCAGTTAGGATCAACTAAAGCTTTACTTGAACATATCTCTGGAAGTCAATGTAGCATATTGTGTTAGGAAGAAATGAACGCACATGTGTACATATGTGTGTGTGCATGCCTGTGCCCTTGTGTAGGTCTAGGTATGTATGTAGACAGACTAAAAACACCTCAAAACAATGTAGTTAGGAGATTAGTATTTGAATATATTATTGCAAAAGCAAACACATAGCTGTATTTTGTGCAACTCTAGCTGAAAATATCTTAACTACTGCAATGAGAAAATTACTTAAAAGAAAAGAACGTAAAATCCTGGGCCAGCTGCCGTGGTGCAGTGGTAGTACGCCACTCAGTGATACTGGGGCCCTACGGAAGTTCAGGGTTTGGTTCCTGGGTCGACTTGCACAAACTGGCCTTCCCAGGCACATCTGCGATCCTGAGTGGCTAGGAAGGGTCCTGGTATGAGACCCTACCGAGGTATCTTTCTCTCTGTGTCTTTCTCACTCATTAATAAGTAAACAAACTTTTAGGCAACTTACAAAATCCAGTTTCCCTTTGAGCTGTCCATTGACTTGCCGCAAGCTCTGCTTCCTGTCATGTCTCACTGTCCTGGGCACCCACGGTCTTGTGTGCAGATCCGCTGACATGGGCAGCACGAGCAGGGCCAGCTCACTTGGGCCCAGGAGGCAGCAGCTGTGTCTTTGCTTCTCTCAGCTCCACAATGATAAGAACCACTGCTCCCTGTGACTTTTAAACTTCGAGGGTGAAGGGCATGATGCCAGTTTTCGGGCGTGGCATTTCCGTGAATGAGCGAAAAGCAGTTGGGGAGCTATAAACATGTGCATGCAGCCAGGCCTCAGAGGCTGATGTTTTTCTCATTTCCCACAGTTTTATGACTGCATACCTTTAAATATTCATTTCCATTGCTCTGTATGAAGACATAAAGTTAGAGTGTGCTTTCAGAAGTCCTGGTGGGTGCCGATCCCTGCAGTCCTGCCAGCTTCCTTAGGAGAGCTCACAGAGTCTTGCCCTCTGCCCGTCCCCCCGGCCCCCATCCCATGAGGGATATTGACAACTCCAGGTTGGAAGGGCTGGCCTGGCAGCTTCAGAACCTCTGGGTGACATGGTACAGTCTTCCTGGTGTCCTCTGCTGAGGGGGTCACCTCTAGACACTTGTTTCTCTTCTTCTGCTATAACACTTGGTGAGTAATGTAACATACTCTGTGCATGTCTGTGAGTCACCTTTACCCACTCTTACTGGGTAGGACTTATACTCCCCTCCTTTTAATCAATGTCTGCCCCAGCTCTTGAAGTATACTGGGTGCTCTGTCATCATATGTTGAACTGATGGATGGGCTCTCTTAGGTAACACATAGTTTTTCAGCAATCGTACCCTTCACAAATAAATAGCACTGGTTGCAGATATGCTTGGGGGAGCCACACGTGCTGGATGAGGTTACTGAGTCATTCAGTTCTTCGTTTTTGTTCCTCCGAGGCTGGTTTGCTGGATGAAGGTAAGTCCTGCAATTTGGAGGCAGCATCAGTTTTGCCGGTAGTACTGGCCAGACCTGGCACAGATGATCAAGCTTCAGTGGCAGATAAAGATCCTCTTTGAGCATATGGGCTCAACTCGCAGTGACTATCAGCTGAAGAGAATTACTTGGATGTTGCAACTACTTGTAATTTATAACAGATTGACATAAATAGAATTAACAATTTTTTTCCCCTATGGAGTACCCCAACTTCTTCAGTGTTTTCTTTTCTTTTTAAACATTTTCTGGGGTGCACATGTGCTCACTGAAAGATACACAGAGAGAGAGAAAGGGAGAGGGAAATCGAGAAAGCAAGCACCACCCTACATGGGGCCTGGTCATGCCACAGTCCCTCTTCCATCTCTCCTTCTTTTCAGGATTTTGGGCACAAATGCACATGGGCCTGGCATTTTTTTTTTTTTTTTTTTTTTTTTGCTATAGGGTGCATGTGCTCGCCAGACAGACAGAGAGAGACAGAGAGACAGAAAACGAGAAATCACCCCCCAGGGGGGATGGTCACACCGCAATCCCTTCTCCTCCATTCTCCTCTCGGGATCTTGGGCACGCACACACACGCGCCCGGCATGAGGTTTAAGCCACTGGGTCCGGGACGCGAACCACGGCCGATTACGTGGGAATTCAGCGACATAGCCATTAGGCTAACTGCTGGTCCCGGGCCTGGCATGTTCTTTAGGTTGCCAGGTCTGGGACTTGAACTACATAGTCAGCCAGTGAGATTCAGTTGCCTTCACCACCAGGCCACAGGCTGGTCCCCAATTTCTTGGTACTAGACATATTACAGAATCTCTGATAAAGCCGTATCATCTCAGGTCTGTACACAAGTACCATTTCTGGGTATATTAGTTATAGAGTCATCAGGAAATCTGGTTCCCACGTAAACATTGAAGTTACCCTTTTTTTAACTACTCTTTTTTTTTTTTTAATTTTCTTCCAACGCACAGTTTGCATGAGGTCAAACTAGTGAATGGGGGTTATTGAATGAGAAAGAAAGCTCGGGAACAAGCAGTTAGCGTAATGGCTATGTTGCTCGACTCTAACGTATTTGACCACGGTTCGTGTCCCAGACCCGGTGCTTAAACTCACGCTGGGTGCATGTGCATGAGTGCCCAAGATCCTGAGCGGAGAAT